TCGCAGCCCGCCCAGCCACGCCGGGACGACGCCCACGAAGCGATTGGTGTAGACGCTCAGGAATTCCAGGCTCGAGAACTTGGCGATGAATCCAGGCAGTGGCCCCGAGAGAGAATTCCCACTCACCGCGAGAACCCTAATCTTGGAACACCGCTCCAGCTCCGCGGGGAGCTCCGTGAACCCGTTGTGCGTCGCGAGGAGGCGCTCCAGCGCCGATAGCCCGCCGATCTCCCGCGGCAGGGAGTGGAAACTGTTCGCCGAGACGGCGAGATTGACGAGCTTGCTGCAGTTCTCGATCTGGGCGGGGATTTCTCCAGTGAGATTGTTGAGCGCCAGATCCAGGCTCTCGAGGTTCTGGCAGCTGGAGAAGAACTCCGGCGAGACCTCGCCCACGAATCCATTCTCGCGGAGGACGAGATTGGAGAGGAGCGGCAGCCTCGCGATCGTGTCGTCTGGGAGTGATCCTGTGAGATTGCAGCTTGAGACGTCGAGGAGCTCGATCGCGCGGCAGTTCTTGAGAGATCCCGGCAGGGGTCCGCCCAGGCCGGGATTGCTGGAGAGATTGAGCGCCTGGAGATTGGCGCACGATCTGGGCGAGAAGAACTCGTCGGGGATCCCGCCCACGAGATCGTTGTAGGCGAGATTGATGGTGGCGAGAGAGGGCAGCTCGTCCAGGAGCGATGGCGGGATCGTGTCGTGGAGCTGGTTGCTGGAGAGATCGAGCTCGGCGAGGCTGGAGCAGCGGGAGAGATCGCCTGGGAGGCGGCCGGAGAAGGAATTGAGCGCGAGGGAGAGCGAGGAGAGGTAGGAGAGATTGGCGAGGCCCTCGGGGATGGATCCGGCGAGATTGTTGGAGGAGAGATCGATGGCTGTGACGTGGACGCCCTCGGGGCCCTGGCTGCACTGGATCCCACCCCACTTGCAAGGATCGCCATCGCTAGGGTTCCAGCCATCGAGGATCGAGCTCTTCCCGGGGTTGTGCGCGACGATCGAGGCCTTGAAGGACAGCAACGCTTGCATTTCTTGCTGGAGTGACAGTGAAGTGGCGCGGCCCACGAGAGATCGATCATCTGCTAGGTAGCAAAAGGAAAAGAATTAGCGAAGAACACATAGAACAGGGGATGCTCTGTTTTCTCTCGTGCTCTGGGGCGAAATTGGCACGCATTTTGGTGCCAATCAAGGGGGCATTTGACAGCCCAATTCGCCGCTCGCGGTGCTCGTGCCCGGGGCAGGCTCGAGGGCCGCGATTGGCGACGAATCGCCCGAGAGAAGCGAGAAGAAAGAGCAGTGTTGTATACCTGGGCGATGATCCAAATCTCGGGTGGCGTAGGCACCGGGAACCTGGAGCAGCAGCGACGCGAGGCTGATGAGGAGCAAGAGATTGAGCCGGGAACACACTGGCGACGCTGGAAATCCAAAGCTTCCACCGCTGCTGCTACTCGCCTGTTGGTGGTGCTCCAGGATGGGGCATTTTCGTGTGCGTTCTACAGGCCCCATCTCCCTATCCTCCATAGGACCGCTGTTTCCAATCTATCTCCCTCCCAATCTCCTCGCAGCCAATGTAGGTAGCTCCTCGAGCGGAAAGAAGGCACAAGAACAAACGCAGAGCCTCTCTATCAGGCAAGCTCCTGACGAAATCCCCCAAATGCACGATCGATCTTTCTCTACACCCTCGCTTTTTCCAGTCCCACTAGGCCTGGGATTGATCGTTTCCTCGTGTTCTTTCTTCTTCTGGCCGAGCAAAGCTCTGAGCAAGGAGCCAAAGGAGAAAGGGAGTGAAGTGAAGAGCTCTCTCTTCAAGTAGAAGAGAAAGAAGAAGAAGAAGAAGAGGCACTTTCACAGCCTTGTTTCGTGAAGCTAGCTAGTGACGACGCGGCCCAGTGCGAGGCTGATCCCAGAAAACGACCCCCAATCCCCCCCTGTCCCCCGACATTGGGATTTGCATTTATAATCGCGATCAGCCACGCCCAGATCCTTTCCCGAAAACCCTCTTCGTCATCATCTCGTGATCTCAAAGCTCATTCCTCTCTATGTCTCTCTCTCTTTCCCTCTTTCTCTCTCTCTCTTTACCTCTCTCTTTCTTTCGACTGATTGATCCGCTAGAACTTATTCCTTGGGTTCCAAAGGGACAATCACAAGAACACGAATTTGATCGGGGTGGCGGTGCCCTCATTCAATCCTCTCGCCGCACGGAAGATCGAGACGCAATCGATGGATCGATCCACGGCTGGGGAAAAAGAAAAGAACGCCCAAGAAGAAGGCGAGGATTGACAAAGAGGAGGGGAAAAGAAGGTGGTGTAAGTTTGGAGAGACAGGCAGGAAGCACATGGCAAAGACAGAGACTTATTTGTACAGAAGTTTGTGATAGATATATAAACAAAAGTGCTGGCTCTAAAGATATAAAAATAAAGGTGATAAACCCTAACTGAGAGACGCAGCCACGAGGGGCTGTGGATAACCGATGACGCAAAAGACAGAGGGTTTCAGCCGACATGGTGCCCAAATGCCGCGACACGGCAAATTCTGTCTGGCGAGTGAAATCGGAACATTTAGACTCCTAAACCCTAAACTCTATACCTTAAAGGTAATATGCAATGGAGGTTACCAGAGATTATGTAAATTTTGAAAGGAAGCATTGCATGGATGCAAGAATGGGATTTGGATTACTTTGGCCGCATCATCTGCATTGTCGGATTGTGCAACTTCTGCAAAGTGAAACTTGCACAACATAATCACGAATTTATTATACACCTGGTGGTTGATGCATTGGAATCCATTCAAGCTCACTTACGGCTTTGAATTTGAGCAAGCAATTTCAAAAGGAAACCATCACTATTCTTCAAGTTTCTAGAGAAATTGACAAAACTAATTTAACAACGAATTTAGAGATCAAAAACTCCCTAAATATCTTTTCTTTTTCTTCTTCTTTTTTTTTTTTTTTTTGTTTGTGTGTGGTGAGAGCACGGGCAAAAGTTGCGTGTGTGTCCACCTTTTGAATGCGCGGAGTTGGCCTTGTCTGCTGTTGCACCTGCACACGGGCATCAACATACGCTCTCTCACTCGCCCAGCCTGACCCCAAAAACCCAGGCTTTTGGCCAGAGCGCGGTATATTCCTCCCGCCCCCCGGAAGAATATACCCCGTAACCCTCATCCCGCATAACTTATTTATTATATAAATACCATTAAAAAACTGAGAAAAAAAAAATGGAGGAGAGAAGAGAGTAAGTGGGATTGGACTGGCCGCCCCACGTCCACAAGGCCGGTCCAAATGGAACTACCGACAGCATCCACAACTCCCGAAGAACACCTGCTGGCATTGCCAAATTTCTGATCGATCCCCCACCCATCTCCATCTCTACGCTAGACATCTCGCGTACGTATTTTCATACGCGCCTCTTCAGTGACGTGAGCGGTTCACTCTTTAACTTGGGGAGAGTTTAAGAGAGAGAGAGAGAGAGAGAGGCATTCACTCTCCATGCACTTTTGGGTTTTTACCCTCCTTGATCCGAGTACACGTAGATATCTGGGCTAGCCTGTAGCCTTGTACCGCATCTGTTGGTAAAAAGTCCACTATTTTACTGTTTACTTTTTGTCCCTGTGATTGATTGAGCCGTGTTGTGTGTGGGGAGGAAGAAATCATATATAATGAGCCGGGACGCTCTCCTATACATCTGAAAATCTTGCTGGAAAAGAAAGAGACACTTAAAATCAGCGATCACATGATCTTTGTAAAAGTAGCAATTTTTTTGCCAGTATCGTTGTTTGATCGCGAGGACGTCTTGTTTAATCGCGAGGGCGCAAACTATGCAAGGCGCACATTCAATGCCCAAGGAAAGATGTTGAGAGATTCCAAGACTTTCATCGCTGCCGATGACTTGGACGCATGGAGCTCTATAATCTACGCATCCTTTCGTTGCCCCGCAGCTCTGGAGATCGTTAACAACACGTTAGCGTGTCCACCGCATGGGGTCTTGTTAATATTCCCGCCCTCCAACATTGTCAAGAGCATGTCTTGATTAAATTTATCGCGATTAGTATAGTAGTGCTTCTTAGTGAGACCTTAAAATATATATTAGTATAGCAATACATTCACAAGCTCGAGAATCTTGGACTAGTCAAGATGGCATATATTTGTTTTGTCTATCGCGTCAAATGAATGGCTTGATCAAATTACATAGATTATAGTAAAACTTGCACGTTACAACACATGCGGTTCGCTCGCTCGCGATCAATCTATTCATTTCAAAAGAGAAAGATTATCGGCGGACCAAGCGGCCGGGTGGCCCACGTGTGCGACAAAGCTTTACAAATTAGGTCAAGTTAGGTCATAAATCCCAATGCCAGCCACCAACAGCCCATGTACGTGCGCTGGGCACACGTGTGCGTGACCCCAAAATCCCTTTCCCGGGCATTTTGACAAATCAAGCCAACTAATTCTATTCTCCAAGAAATTGGATCGTTGTTGGGATTGGACTGATTGATCGAAGTTCTTCCTTGCTTGGTTTCATTGTTTACTTCCTTCGGTGTTGAAGGAAGACAAAGAGTTCTTCTTGCTTTCTTCCAACTGTATGAAAATGATCTCCCTCCGAACTTGACTATTTTTAAATGCCGCCCAGCGAGGATTGAACCGCCGACTGGTTGAGACGTCGTGTCATGGCTCATGATGGGCATTGCGGGATATATCTATGGCCATGCGGGGCATGGGAGCATCGCCGCGGATCCTGCCACGGATCCCGGCGTGCACCCGTGCGGGTGGCACCGGGATTTAAAAGGTGGCGCATATTCGTCCTGCCGGGGGGCATATGCTCTCCGTGTTAGCGACAAGAGAACAATGCGCGTGGGTTTCGATGCTGACTGCGAGTTCCAGGGTGGGCGAATTGGAGCGTGCCCGGAGGATATTCGATGGAATGCCCGAGAGGAACCTCGTGGCGTGGAACGCCATATTCGCGGCATATGCCAGAAATGGGCATCTGGAATATGCGAAGAGGATATTTGATGTCATGCCTCTGCTGGACATGGTTTCCTGGAATGGAATATTGGCTTCATATGCGCGAGAGGGTTTGATTCCGGCAATGGAAGAGATATTTGCCTTGATGCCTGGAAGGAATCTAATCTCTTGGACTTGTGTCTTGAACGCATATGCCCAGATTGGGTATATTCGGGAAGCGGAGAGGATCTTTGAAGCCATGCCGGAAAGGAATCTCGTGTCATGGACGTGTATGGTCACGGCTTATGTCGTGGTGATGGATTTAAGCAATGCAATACAAGTGTTTAATGTGATGCCTGAGTGGAATCTTGTGTGTTTTAACGCAATGCTTGGAGCGCATATTCATATGGGAGTGTTTTCTCAGATGCAAGCGTTCTTCAAGGAAATGCCAGAGGCGGATTTAATCTCCTGGGTGTCAATTCTTACAATTTGCGTAAGAGAGAATGATCTTGTCAAAGCTATTGAGGTTTATGACAAAATGCCACAACGAAATCTGGTGGCAATGAACGTCATGCTCTCTGGCTATGCCGAAAGTGGAGATGTTGGCAAGGCAAAATCTTTTTTTGATCAAATGCCTGCTCACAGCAACGTCTCTTTGACATTGATGCTAAATCTTTACACTCAAACTGGAAATCTTGAAGCCGCAAAGGACTTCTTTGACAAAATTCTGCCCAAAGATATCATTTCTAACAATTCTATGCTTTCTGCATTTGCTTGTTCGGGGCATCTAGAGGAATCGGAGAGAATGTTTTACAGCCTACCAGAGTGGAGCCTCGCTTCATGGAATATTTTCTTGGCCGGATACACTCAATCAGGCAAATTAGAGCACACAAGAAAATTATTCCTGAATATGCCAGATCACAGCCAGGTGTCGTGGAATATCCTCTTGGCAGCAAATGCCGCTACAGGGCATTTGTTTCAGTTAAAGAGTTTGTTCGATACGATGCCCGATACTGACGCCGCGTCGTGGACCACACTTCTCGCCACGTATGTCCAATCCGACCGCTCGATAGCCGCTGACGTGTACGGCCAGATGAAGATGCTCTTCTCGCCCGACGACGTCAGCATCGTGTCCGCGCTCATCGCTTGCGGCCACGGCGGGAAGGTCCAGCAAGGGAGGGATTGCTTTGTGTCCATGAGTCTGGATTTTGGATTGGTGCCGAGCAAGCAGCACTACTGCTGCATGATCGATCTCCTGGCGCGATCGGGTCGGCTGGACAGCGCGATCGATCTCGCGGAGAGCATGCCCTTTGAGGCGAGCAGGATCGAATTGATGTGCCTGGTGGGCGCTTGCGGCAGCCAGAGAGAAATCCGGCGAGGAGGAGAGGCGAGCAAGATCGCCCTCGAATTTAATCCGGGCGATGGAAGGGCGATGGTAATGCTTGCTAATCTCTACTCGCAAAAGTAAAATCCGATCGACCAAGTTTCTTCTCAAAGGAAGCATATACCAATTTAAATAGCTGGCATATTCCTAGTATATTCACTACCATGGTAACATGGTATTTACATTTTAGATCTGGAGGCCAAAGACTGTGACAATGCAGTACATGGTTTTGTTCTCCCACCGTATGGTTTTGCTCCCTGTACGGACGGGTGTGTTCAATTCTGGGAAAGATTCGAGGAATATGCCTACCATCGGCCGCGGTATCCCAGAAGCAGGATGTGGCGGTGACCATCCCCGCACCGTTCTTCTGCATTATCAAGCACGTCACTTAAACAAGGAGAGAATGTGGGTGATTAGTGGCTAATCAGGAGGGGAGATTTTGCTCGTTTCTCTACTCACCGGCGTATTTGAAGGGCTTGTCAAGCTTGACAAGATTGTTGAGACAAACTTCGCAGACGCTGGTTGTCCAATCCGTCACCTTTTGTGTTTTGGGTTTTCCAAGATCAGTGATGCCTCCAAGAAAGTTGGAAAATCTTTTTCTTGGATGGAGTTTGGATCCGTCCGAGAAAGTTGGGGAGCTTGTTGCAAACCTTGTCGTGCCTAAACTGGTTGCTTCCGAGCGATTGATCCAGCGCGTCTTTGATGATACCATTGATCTCGTCTGGAAGAAACCTCGGCTGGAAGAAAGTTTGTCTTTGGGGACAAAGGATTAAACAGAAGAATGTGGCAAACTTACGTCGATTTTAACCTCTGGAACTTCCTCAGACATCGCTACTAGGTCTTCTTCTCGGCGTTTTTACTCCATGGCAACGTTGGTTATGGATTGCGGTTATAGTGGTAAGCTCCCTTTAGCTCAGCGTTGGTCTTATGAGGCAAAGGTCGCGAGTTCAAACCTCGCTGGGAGCAAAATTTCTTAACCAAATCTTTCGCTTTGAAAATTTAGGGCTCTTGACGCGGCCATGGCGGCAATATCCTGCGCCTTGTCACTGAGGTAAGATTTTCGCCTTCCAAGCTTCCGGATTTGCAATGCGGCTGTACTGCAGTGGCCTGCGGAGTAATTTCTCCGGCGAGACTTTGGGAGCCAGTATTTGCAGTAGCAGCAGCAGCGCCAGCGGCAATCTTCCTTTGAGAGTGATTTGCAAGGAATCCAGGATCGGGAAGAGGCCGGTTGAGGTGCCGAAATCGGTGAATGTGGTGCTCCAAGGCCCGAATCTATCCGTCAAGGGCCCGCTGGGAGAGCTGACACGCTACTATCCGCGAGAGGTCAGCCTCACCAGGGATGAGTCTGGGAGGATTGTCGTCACCAGGGCTCTGGAAACACGGCGCGCTCGCCAAATGCACGGCCTTTTCAGGTTCTCTCCAAAGCTCTTTTTTTCTTTCATAGCTTGCCTGTTTCCAATTGTTCTTGGCTTTCAATCGTTGTTCTTGTTAGAACTTTCTAGCTGCATTGAAGTTTTCCAGTTTTTCCACGATCTCGAGTTCTAGTTTTTGTTAAAACTTTCTTGCTGGATTGAAGTTCTCCAGTTTCTCCCCGATTCGAGTTCTACCATCTCGCACTTTTGAGCTCTAAGTTCTAGATCCAGCATTTGTGCTGGCATTTGCATTGGACATCTTTCATCTTTCCAAGTTTTCCAAAACTCTTTTTCCTTTCATAGCTTGCCTGTTTCCACGCATTCTTAATCGTTAGAACTTTCTAGCTGCATTGAATGTCTCCAGCTTTTCTTTTTTTTTTCCCGATTTCGAGTTCTTTTGCTTCTCAGCTCTAAGATCTAGATGTTCTCGCATTTGCATTGGACATCTCTCATCTTTCTAAGTTTCTTCCTTCTCCAGAACGCTCACAGACAACATGGTCGTTGGCGTCTCTCAAGGCTTCGAGAAGAAACTCCAGATGGTCGGGGTCGGCTACCGTGCCACGGTCGAGCCCACCGAGATCATCCTCAACGTCGGCTTCTCGCACCCGGTGAAGATCAAGATCCCGGATGGTATCAGCGTCAAAGTCGAAGAAAACACTCGCATCACAGTCTCGGGGAGAGACAAGTGCGCGGTGGGCCAGTTCGCGGCGATCATAAGATCGTGGAGACCTCCAGAGCCTTACAAGGGGAAAGGGATCAAATACGCGGACGAAGTTATCAGGAGGAAAGAAGGCAAAGCGGGCAAGAAGAAGTAACGAGAGAGAAATATCTGAAGTCCCAACAGGTTTTGGGTTCGATTCCTTTGTCTATCTTCTTGGACGTCTCAGGCTCGATTCCTGGGGTGGTGGAAATAGTTTTGGTTCTTAACGGGAGCCCTTATTTTCTCTCCCAGTGTTGCGAGAGGGATTTTTCGAAGTGGATGAGGATCCGCGAGGCGGCGATGCAGCAGCGGCTGATCGCGGCGTGTGGGGGCGACAATGTGAAGCTCTTTGATGCCGCTGCCGCGAGCGAGGGCCGGGCGGATCCTTGCGTCTCGCAGTTCCTCCCGGCGCCCGGCGTCCAGGTTAACGCTCTGCGATGGAATCACACCAGTAAGATCTCAGTTCGCGGCTTCTAGCTGCCTGCATTGCGCGTCCTGGTGATATTTCGATGTTTCTTTGCTTCCAGATCACGTCCTGGCGAGCTCCGGGGAGGATCGCAGGATTTCGCTGTGGCTCAAGGGAGGCAAGCTTCTAGGATCTGTGCCGCAGCTAGAGTCCGATCCAGCCGATGTTCTAGACGTATGTGTTTCTTGGATTTTTTCTTTCTTTCTCGTGATTGTTGTGTGTTTCGTTTGCCTTCCAGGAGTCTATACTGGCCATAAACTTCAGCTCAAAGTCATCGAGATATCTTTGCTCTGGTGGAACTGGGAAAGTCGTGCGAATCTGGGACATGCAAAGGAAGAAGTGTATAAAATCGCTCAAGGGGCACACTGACACGATCACTGGCGTCATGTATAACTGCAAAGACGAGCACCTTGCGTCCATCAGTACCAGGGGTGATCTCATCATCTACAGCCTTGCTTCCGGGTCTCGAATCACCGAAGTGAAGGATCCCTTCAATCAGGTGAGTTTTTCTTCGGCGTCTCGTATCCTGCAAGAGTTTTTTGCAATGCTAGCGGGTCGTAGAGTATCTCTTTGGTCATCATGAGCGTTTTTCGTGGCAGGGAATTGCTGAGTTTCTTTGGAGCAGGTTTTGAGACTCTTGGAGTATTCTCGATCGAGCCGAAATCTTCTGGTTACTGCTGGGGACGATGGGTCATTGCATCTTTGGGACACTACTGGACGCAGTCCAAAGGTACGGTCAGTCGCTTTCTTCATCTAATGCTTTTCAGCCAATTTATTCTTTGCTCATCGTTGATAGGCCTCATGGATTCGACAACATCTGGCACCTGCAAGCGGTGTCGGTTTCTCATTTTCAAATGAAAAGGTATGCATGAGGTTGAAGTTTGTCGTCATGGACTGAGACTGATCTCCTTCCAGGTCATAGTAAGCGTGGGCTTTGATAAAAGATTGCATACTTACGACACCAGCGTAAAGAAGGCTGTCCACTCTCTTTCTTGCGATGCGCCATTCTCTTCTTTAGCATTGAAAGACGATGGTTGGACTGTCGCAGCCGGTACTACAAATGGGAGAATTATGTTCTATGACATCCGTACCAAAGTCCAACCCATGGCTGTTCTTCGAGCTTTTAATCCATCTGAGGTGCGACGGTCTATTCGTTTTCAACTTGTGACACTGTTGACTTCTTTAGGCTGTTGCAAGTGTATGCTGGCAACGGACAAACCCGGTTCCAATAAGCACCTCAAGCTGGTCGCCTGACGTGGCTTTGCTCGGTGCCAATGGAGAGGAGACTCCGGCCATAATGCCTGATCCACTTCCCGCTTCCGGAAGAAATAGACCTTCTTTTGGACGGCCTGAATCGCTGACTGTGGCAAATCCAAGGAATGCAGCAGCGGCAGAAGAATCATCAAACCAGAGCGTGTGGTCCAATAGTGGTTCTTTCATCCTTCACTCGTCGAAGGCTACCCCGAGCGGTGTTGACGACATGGAGGTTTTTTCTCCTCTCGTGGACGTGCAACCGATAGTTCAACCTCTCTCTTCGTTCATTGACGGACTCGGCGAAACAAAGAAGCCATCTCCTCCCTCGGCAATAGCAAACTCAGACGAATTCCAGCAAACCTCGCATCAAGTAAGTAGTTGACTACTCTTCCATTGTGTGTGTTTCACTTTTACGTTCCTCCTACAGGACGAACATCCTACCACGTCTCCGCGTGTTGAGGCTAGCAATGCAGCAGAACTGTCTCCAAACGATCATCAAACTCGACTCACCAAAGCTAGAGAGCATCTGGCGGCTGTTAAAGGCTTGGCTCTAGAACTTCCTCCAAGGCTCTCGGCGTCGTCACCAAACTCGCCTCCCTCAAGAGTTTCACCTCCACAGCCGTCCTCGTCTTCGTTCGCGCTCCAGCTTGTGCAACGTGCTCTCGAGGAAAGCCTTGGCTCCGTCCAGCGAGCCATACACGAGGACGTGCAAAACCTTCACCTAGAGCTCATACGCCAGTTTCACATCCAACAGGTTGTTACTTTGTTGATACTCTCACTTTTTTTCTTACTTTGTTTCCATGATTTCCTTTTACCTTTGGCAGACGGAGACGGCGTCCTGTGTGGAAAAGCTAGTCGCGAAGCAAGCTGAAATGATGGAGGAACTTCAAGCGCTTCGAAAGGAGAACCAGCAACTCCGGCATTTGATTTGATCTGGTAGGCAATCACTTTTTGGAGTACATTCATTTACAGTTTCTTTTTTTCTTCTCTCCTCAGGAATGGACTGATTGGAAATCTCCCAAAAGATAGCCGGCATTTAATCCCATCTAAAGCTAAAGATCCCAGGCAAGAACTTAGTTTCCATTCTTCAATAGAATGAGATCGCTATTAGTCACATGAAGCTCGTTTTTGAGGGGTACTTGCAGAGCATGAAGCGATTCTTTGACCAGTGAGTCGAGCTTCGCATTCCATTGCTGTGCCTTCTTTTGGTTTGTTGGGTACAGCCAAGAGAACAGAGAATGGAGGGCCAAGGACAAGCGAGAGTATATAGAGAGAGGTTGATGTTCCTCTTCATCGTGTTTACTTACAGCACTCCTATTTTCTTTCCAGAGAGGACGATAGTGAATCATCGATCGATAATGCCGCGGCTACTCCACCTCAAGGAATGAAGCTCCACTGGCCAAGCAGCAAAAGAGGCTACACCGCCACCATCAATGCGGTCCAGGAAACTCTAGCGGCTCTCGACAATGGATCCATCTCCGGCAGCCCAGTGCTCTACTCGGACCTCCTCCGCGGCTGCGGGACACTGGCGGACGCCCGCCGGATCCGCCAATACGCCACCCGCGACAATGTCCTCGACCACCATCCATCGCTGGCAAGGCACATCGTCCAGACCTTCGTCCGCCTGGGCAGCATGGCCGACGCTCAAGACTCCTTCGCCGCCACCACGAAGAAAACCGGGGTGGTCATCTGGACAGCCATGATCACGGGCTACGCCAAGCATGGAGACTTCTCGCGGGCGATCCAGTTTTTTGCAGAGATGGAGAGAAACCACGTCCTCCCGGACAAGATCACGTATGTGGCGGTGCTGGGCGCGATCCAGGATCTGGAACAGGGAAGGAGAATTCACGTCAGAATCCAAGAGACGGGCTATGATACCGACCTGGTGGTGGCGAACGCGCTGATGAAGATGTACGCGGCGTGCTCCAGCCTCGCCGACGCTACTCGGGTTTTCGAAGCCATGGATCACAGGGACGTGGTGTCGTGGACCTCGATCATCGCAGCAAATGCCAGGGCCGGGGACTTTCCAGCCGCGATGGGTCTCTTCCGGAGGATGCAGCTCCAGGGGACGCGGCCGAACCGGATCACTCTCCTCGAGCTGCTGGCCTGGTGCGATGATCCGGGCGAGGGAGCGGCGATCCACGAGCGAGCTTTTGCCAGTGGGCTTCGATCCGATGTCCCGGTTTGCAACGCGATCCTCAACATGCATGCCAAGGCCGGGCGATTCGAGACCGCCAGCGAGCTCTTCGAGAGGATGCCCGTGAGGAACGCGGTCTCGTGGACAGCCATGATGGCGGCGATGGTGAGGGCCGGGCGGCACGACGACGCGCTGCGGCTGTTCCGGGACATGGAGGACGACGGCGTGGAGCCCGACTCGATCGCGTTCATCACCGTGATCAATGCCTGCTCCAGCGCCGCGACCGCGCGGTGGATCCACGGGTGTATCATCCGGGGTGGCTGCGACTCCGACACTGCTGTGAGCAACGCGATCATCAGAGCCTACGCGAGGTGTGGGAGCTTGAAAGAAGCGTACCGGACGTTCGTGGAGATAAAGGAGAGGCGGGATCACGTCTCGTGGACGACAATGATCTCGGCGTTTGCGGAGTTTGGGCGGATCAAGCGATGCGTCCAGCTCTTCCGGGAGATGCTGCTAGAGGGCGTGAGAGCGAACGAAGTTACCTTGATCACGGTGGTGAATGCTTGCGCGGGCGCGAGCGCGATCAAGGAAGGGCGATGGGTCCACGACTGCGTCATTGGCTATCAGCTGGAGAGATCGAGCTCGATGGTGGCCACGGCGCTGCTCGACATGTATGGGAAGTGTGGGAGCCTCGAGGTGGCGGCCAGGATCTTTGGAGAGCTGGAGCAGCCGGACGTGGTTTCGTGGACGTCGATCATCGCCGCGACTGCCCAGAATGGTGACGGATCCAGCGCCGCCAGGCTCTTTTGCGCCATGCAGCTCGAGGGAGTGAGGCCGGTGGACGTGACTTTCGTGAGCGTCGTCGCGGCTTGCAGCCATGCCGGGATGGTGGATCTCGGGAAAGAGTTCGTGACGAGGTTGCGGAAGGATCACCGGGAGGGGATCGAGCTGACGCTGGAGCACTGTGGGTGCATTGTGGATCTGCTCGCTCGGGCGGGGCGGCTGGAGGAGGCCGAGTGTGTGATCGATTCCATGCCGTTTAAGCCCACCCCGGCGGTATGGATGGCGTTCCTGGCGGGCTGCAAGACGTACGAGGATATCAGTCGCGGGCAGAGAGCGGCAGCGCAGATTCTCGGCCTGGATGAGAAGACTACCGCGGCTGTCATCGCTCTCTCGAGCACTTACGCTGCTTCTGACCGCCGGGGAGATGGCGAGGCGCTGAGAGGATTGATGGCGGATGGATGCCTCAAGGAGGAGCACGGCATTGGAATCCAAGACGGAGGTGGATAAGATTGAGCGATGTTTCGAGAGGGATTGGATAGAGATTCAAGAGATTTCACGCAAGACTGCTAAGAGATCAATGCAAGAATCCAATAGATCCAGAGATGGATAGAAATCGAAGAGACTGAGGGATATTTCGAGAGAGATCCGAGATCCAAAAGATTTCACAAAGAGATAAGAGAGTAGAAGAGATAGAGATCCAGCAAGAAACAATGGATTACGTCACAGATTCCAGAGATCTTGTCAAGAATGAGAAATATCTTACTGACGAAGGGATTCCAATGGCCATCGAGCTTGGAGAATCCACCAAGAACCCTACATTATGACACGTAAGCTGAGAGCCAGCTAAACATTATGCCAGGTGGGCGCCCACATGGGTACCCACGTGGCGTCATCATACAGCGCTGTAGTCCATTCACTGTACTGACACGTGGCCCACAATGGCGGCAAGACTTGGCTGGAAATAAAATATAGGGATTGGGACGGGGCTTTTTGCTGGAGATTCCAGCTTTTGGGAAAAACAGGTCACCGCCCATTCTCGAAAGGACCGCTTAACCTTACGTGAATGGTAACCGGCTGGTGAGTTTTTACCCCGGGTTTTCACCTCGAGTTTTTACTGCCTGGGTTTTTGCTGCTTGTATATAAATCTCTATCATGTATGTTCACTACACAGGGGCAGCGTTTTCTCTTGGTTCTTCCTCGCTCGCTTCTTCGCTCGCTCTCCTCGCCGATCCATCGATCCATCCCAGAGTTTTGACAATGAGCTCTGAAGAGGCAAGCACAGATCTGTGAGAATGAGAGTGAGATGATCTTCCTCTTCTTTTGCTCGAGAGCTCTGTTTGATTCTTTCGATTCATTCCTCCCTTTTACTTCCTTGGCTCCCCACTCTCTGGATCTGGCCCCGATCTCAATCAGTTCTTTGGTGGATCGACCATCGTTCCAAAGAAACAGGAAGATAAATGACTCTAACTCGAGAGAGACTGACCTGGAACCGAATATCCCCTGATATACTCCCCTTGATCATTGTTGAGCTGCTTGACTGGTTTTAAGATTCTTGACATCGTTTAACAACATGTTTCCTCTTTTGCTGTTCTTTGAACTTATTTTTATTGTCTAGGTAAAGGACGTTCCTCCCCCAACTCCAACTCCAGCTCCAGCTGAAGAAGTAACAACTCCAACTCCAACTCCAGCTGAAAAAGTGCCTCCAGCTGAGGAAGTGGCTCCGTCAGCTGAGGAAGCATCAGCTCCAGCTGCAAAAGAAGTGGCTGCTCCTGAAGTTCCAAGTGAAGAAGCTGCTCCTCCAGCTGCTACACCTGAGCTGGAGGAGAAAACCAAAGAGCTGAGCTTGGAAGATCCACCAGCAGCAGTTGAAGAAGCAGCACCTAAAGCACCAGCAGCATCTGTGTTTAGTGTTACGGTCTAAACCCCTTGTGCAAGCATCTCAAACTTTTCCTATGAATTCCTTTTGATTAAATATCCAAAACAATTGAATTATAAACAGCGTAAAGAGCTCGCCAATCGTCGTCATGATAGTTTGGCTACTGCTCACAAAGAAAGGGCGGCCATAGCCTTAAAAAAAATCTCCAAAAATTGGATGGGACACTCTGGGAAGCAAACTGGAAAGCTCGAATGACACAGCATCGATAAATTTCAATCCATCACATTGCAGGGTCCAGTCTAGCAGCATCATGCTTTGCGATAATAAATTGGAAATACTCCCACTATTAAAATGTTTTACTGGATTCTTATCCAGAGAGATATGGAATAATAATCGCATTCCACTGTGAGCGGTGGGGTACTGGAATCTTAAGAACTGACAAATTTTTTTTTGTATTTTTTCCTGTCCCAACATTAAAGGAAAATAAAATAAAAGGTGAATAATAAACATAATAAATCAATATTAATAAATATATCATTGTTCTTAAGCATACAAATCTTCATCGGGCATTTGGGCAGTATCATTTTGATCGACCATCTGGTGCTCGGCTCCTGGAAACTTAAACTCTCCAAATCCTCGAGACTGGTGGAGGCTCTGCGAGAAAGCCTTGTACTTGCGAACATCCGCGTCGCTCACACTCCGCCGAGCAAACCTCATCGATTCCTCGAAATGCCTCGGCTCAACATAAGCCACCGCATTGTCCTCGTCCATCATGTCTTCGCCACCATTCTCAGCAGCTTTCTTCATGTCCTGAAAGGAACAAAGAGAGTTTAAGCTCAAGCCAGCTACAAAAAAAAAAACTTTGAAGTACCTTCTCGATATCCTCTCGGATCGCAAACTTGCAAGCTCGCTGGCAAATCTCGGTGATATCAGCCCCGCTAAATCCTGGCGTGTGCCTCGCAAGAGCAGCCAGATCCACGTCCATTGACAGCGGAGTCTTTCTCAAGCACGCCTGGAAGATCTTGAGCCGAGAAGGCTCGTCCGGGAGAGGAATGTAGATAAGTTGGTCCAATCGTCCAGGCCGGAGCAAGGCCGAGTCGAGGATGTCCGGCCTGTTGGTAGCACCGATGATAAACACCGTCTTCTTGGCAGTAAGACCGTCCATCTCGATGAGCAGCTGGTTGAGGACACGGTCCACGGCACCGCCGGCGTCATAGGCCGAGATACCGCGCTGTATGGCGATGGAGTCGAGCTCGTCGAAGAAGAGGACGCACGGCGCTGACGCCCGGGCCTTGTCAAACACCTCCCTCACGTTGCCCTCGCTCTCGCCGAGGTACTTTGAGAGAAGCTCCGGTCCCTTGATGCTGATGAAGTTGCAGTGGATCATCGTCGCCACGGCTTTAGCGAGGAGAGTTTTGCCGCAGCCGGGTGGGCCGTAGAAGAGAACTCCTTTCGACGGTGACATGCCAAACTTCTCGAACATGTGGGGGAACTCGATCGGATACTGGATTGTCTCCTCGAGTTCTCGCTTCACTGACTCCAGGCCGCCGATATCTTCCCAAGAAACGTCTGGAACTTCCACGAGCTGCGGAAAAATAATCGATTGTTAGAAACGATTGGGTAAGGAGATCTATACTCACTGTTTCTCGGAGCGCTGATGGATTGCTGACGCCAGATGCGAGCTGGAAATCGTCCTTGTCGACGGCCATCAGGTTCAGAATCTCAGCGTCGATGGTCTCGGCCTCCAAGTCGATGATGTCCATTTTCTTGCGAATGCAGTTCATGGCAGCCTCAGAGCAAAGTGATGCCAAGTCCGCCCCAACAAAACCGTGCAAATTTTGGGAGACAGATTCCAAGTCCACCTAAAACAACGACACAAGAGTAAGTTGGCAGAAACCTTTGAGGAGAACTTACATCGTTGGATAGTTTCATGTTCTTGGTATGAACTCTAAGTATCTCTAGCCTGCCAACTCCGTCCGGGACACCAATATCAATCTCTCGATCGAACCTTCCAAATCTTCGCAAAGCGGGGTCGATGCTATTCGGCCGGTTCGTCGCTGCCATGACGACAACGTTCGAGCGCGTTTTCAATCCGTCCATGAGCGTCAGGAGCTGTGAGACGATCCTTCGCTCCACCTCTCCGTGAGCTTGCTCTCGCTTTGGAGCAATGGAGTCCACCTCGTCTATGAAGATGATCGAGGGAGCGTTTCTCTCGGCCTCTGCAAACGCCTTGCGAAGATTGCTCTCACTTTCACCGTTCAGCTTGGACATAATCTCGGGTCCGTTGATGACTGTGAAGAAGGCTCCAGTCTCGTTGGCGACTGCTCTGGCAATCATCGTTTTTCCAGTCCCTGGAGGCCCAAAGAGCAAGATTCCTCGCGGTGGTTTCACTCCAATCGTTCGAAAGAGCGTTGGGTGCCTCAGTGGAAGCTCGACAGCCTCGCGGATCAGAGCAAGTTGCTTGCGAACTCCACCTATGTCTTCGTAACCAATCTCATTGAGCTTGTTCTCTTCGTCCTCTCGCCTGACCGGCTCTCCTTCGCAGAAGATCTCGGTGTCTGCAGAGACATAGCAATACTCTCCCGGAGGATCGATTTCCACCACCTTAAACTCCACTGCTCGCATCGCTCCACGGACCAAAAAGAGGTCACCTTTTCTCAATGGCCGGAAGCATTCAGTGAAGTAATCTTCGATCACAAAAAGAAAGTTAGTGCAAACGCTTGATAGAACCGTGGACTTACCTTTGAGAAAAGAATCGAAGAGATTTCCTGTGAGGCCCTCGATGGTGTCATCCAGAGGAAGAACATGAACCTTCTTCGCGTATTTCACTTCTTGGATCTGGTGGATCGAGACGACTTCTCCGAGCTTGACTCTCAGGTTCACCCGGACGACCTTGTTGATCCTCACCTTGAATTCCTCACAATTTTCGTCTGGAAGAAGGATGAGGACAGTATCTCTCCTTCTCTTCCCCTGCTCATTCATAAAAGGATTAGCATCCTACAGTAAAGGAATTAAGACCATCACTCACCTTGACGAGAACGGTATCGCCTGGCGTGAGATTGAGAGCTTGAATCCGATCTGGGTGAAGAGTTACGATCGAATTATCGTCATGGACTGCATCATCGACCACAAGTCGATGGAGAGCTACTTTTTTTGCAGGCTGCTCGCCTCCGGTCGAAGACGAGGCCATGGCCAAACCTTTCTAGCGACCTAAGGTGACACCTATTATATAGCGAAAAAGGCTTAAAGGATTAAAACCTTTTTTTTCACAGGCTAGAAAAGGATGTTCTCAACTCGGCCCGGGAGACTTTACGCATACCTTAGAAACGGAGCGTTGTTGACGAGCAAGCTTTCGCCTACGATCGAGATCATTCGCATTGCAATCCATGCAAAAGGTTCTATCATTTTGCTCTTCGAAACTGTAGTAACATTATAGAAAAAATCACGAGAGAAAAGAAAGAATCTCCGACCTGGTTATGGAGCAAAAGGAGCAAAATCCTTCCGCACATCCCTCGCAAGTAATCAAACCATTCAAAAACTTCCTGAGAAGAAAAAATAAGAAGTAAAGCATCGAAAGGGAGAAAGGAAGGAGAAAATCTTCCTTACTTGCAGCGAAAGCATTGATCACTGCCCAAAAAATCTGGAGGTGGTACTTCCATTATTGTGTTCTTGAGATTGAATTGGAAACTCTGCATTCCCGCCCAGAGCTTTTGCAGCGTCCGATCTACAAAGACCTCGCATTCTCTCACATTCTCGAAATCACAAAACCAGGAGCGTACCATAGATAGATCTCCGCCCGTCACTGCTCGCCGTGGAGTGGCTGGTCTCAAATCCATCGCTGGGCGCCAAGCGCTTCATTCCGATAAACCCTAAAATCGCGTTAGCAGCGCGCGAGAGTTCTTGGATCCAAATTCCCATCGGACGATGGAAATGCCGCCACGATTTCCGAGCGTTGTTAGATCCGAGAATATGCTCCCTCCCCAAGACCAAATTTCCATCGATCGATCGATCGATCCGAGCTCACGATTCGATCCGTCCGAGCTCACGACTCGCCCCGATTCGACGAAAGCATCGCGAGCTTGGCCATGATCACGTAGGGCGACGATTTCCTGGACTGCATCTCAAAGAGCTCCTCGGCCGCTCGCCGCCCGCGCTTGACATCGCTGTGGATCGAGCACGCCCCGAGCAGCGTCTCCCACACGCTCTTGCTCAGCTTGTGCGCCGGCATCTTGCGCAGCCACTCCTCCGCCTCCTCCAGCCGGCCCGCCCGCCCAAAGAGATCGATCATGCAAGCGTAGTGCTCGCGGTAGGGCAAGATCCCGTGATCGTGGAGCAGCGACGCGAAATATCCACACCCGCGACCGATCAATCCCGCCTGGCTGCAAGCGCTGAGGATGCTCACGAAGCCGATCGCGTCCGCGCGGTGCCCGCTCTGCTGCATCCGCTCGAACAGCGCGATCGCTCGCTCCGACTGGCCGCGCCGCGCGAATCCAGACACCAGCGCGTTCCACATGAACATCGTGTGTTCTTGAGCGCCGTGGAAGATCTCCTGCGATTGCTCCAGCCGGCCGCAGCTCGCGTACATGTGGATCAGTGCTGTGATCACGCCGACGTCGCGATCGAAGCCGAGATCGATCGCCCTGCGGTGGATTCTCTCTCCGGCGGCAAGCTCCGCCATGCCCGCGCACGCATTGAGCGCAAGAACTAGGGTAAGCTTGTCCGGCGCGATGTCCATGGAGTCGTACGTACGGAGAGCCGGCGGCGTGCCGCCATAGGCATTAATCATGGCGTTCCACAGCACGACGTCGCGGCGGTACGGCGGTACCGCCGCGAAGGACTCCTCCGCGCGGCGCACCTCCGCGGCACTGCCGTACGCCGCCACGAGTACGGTAGCCACCACGACGTCGCGGTTCATGCCGCGCTGCACGACGTGGCTGTGCACCGCCGCCAACGTCTCGCGACCAGCAGTGGCGGCGGCGGTAAGGGCGTTCACGAACGAGATCTCATCCGGCGTCACGCCCTCGAGTAGCATTTCCCCGTAGAGCGTGAGAACGCGCTCGAATTCCTCGTGCTGGGCCAGAGCCGATCCCATCGCGTTCCACGCGATGAGATCCAGCCTCTGGC